CCTGTTTTGATCGGATGCAAGCCTCAACGCAGCGCACGGGAGGCGGGTTTCAACTCTATGGCTCAGTTAAGTGTGCCTGTTGGGGATTAACTTTCGAGCACTAATCTGGCCATTTTCTCTTTGGCCCTGCAGATCACATCCGCTTTCTTAAAGGCAATGTAGAGGTTCGTCTGCTGTAAGTGATTATAGACCAACGACCACTTCTCTTTACAGTTGATTGCAAGTTGGTTTTCATGCAACCTTGAACATAAGCATTTGCCTGTTTCACCAATATACCCGGCATTGCTATTTTTGCAGGGCACTGCTGATTGTTTGCTCACTGGAAGAGGGTCCTTGGGCTCCTTGGCCTGCTTTCTGATTGTGGACTCATGTCTGTGAGCTACGCCGATCCCAAAGAGTTTAAGGATTCGCACTGTCGTCTCTGAAACGTTACTGACGTAGGAGATTGCGTGCCAGAATTTTATTTTTTCTCTAGTCGACCACGGAACATAATGCCTCCTGAGGCACTTGCGGATGAAGGGCTTCGCATAACCGTTCGCTTCAAAGAGGCCATACAATTAAAATTTTTTCTTCTGCTTCCTACAGTCATCGCTAAAATGTGCTTGAACACATTAGAAAATGGTTCCGATAGAGCTTCGGAAGTAGAAAATGTGTCTCGTGTTGGATTCCTTACAGTAAACCATTTTCATTTTCGTCCAGTTTGTCAATTTTCTGACGTTGACGTCAAGTAAAAGGCAATTATTGATCACAAAGGCAGCTGTATCAGAATCCTCTTCCAACATTTTCAAACACATTGTACCGGCGAGAGTGCGGAACAGGAGGAAGTGAATTACTTGCATGGCCTATTCAAAGCAAACGAATATCTGAAGTCCTTCATTCGCGAGTGCCTCATGAAGCCTTAAATGCATTGATTAAGAGAAAAAGTCAAAATTCTGGCTATCAACGACATACGTAAAAAACTGCCCAGAAACGACGCTGCAAATACATGGATATAATGATGAACATCCTTTCAAGAAATTTCTTTTTTCCGCTATCTTAGCTGAATTGTGAACATGTGGTTTCTTGTAAGGTTTACGACAGAAAGAAGTTGCTTAACCAAAAAATAACTTCTGAGAAGCTTAAAATACGCATCCAACCCATTCGCTATGGGCTTTAAATCTGCAACAGGTTCGGCCTCTGGAACTTTGTTACGTATTGGAACTCAGACGCTGATACCATTTCAATTGTATGGTTATTGTGCCACTTCTAAATATGTGACATCGAGCATATTCCCCTTTCTCCTCCCTAGGACCAGGACTTCTGCGATTTTGATAAGGTGCTTCAATCGTACGACTACTTTGAGAAGGATTTTTGGGCACTATATGCGTGCTTAGAAAAGGTTTGTTTGAAAACAATACTGCAAAATAGTTATAGTAATGCCTTTGATAACAGTTACCATACATATGCACAAGGAAGTAGGAGTAATCTACTCCTTGGACAAACCTATAGATAACACTTTACATTTTTGTATACTACTCACTATTTTATAGTAACATATTTGATGTTTGAAAAAATTATGCACACAAGAGACCATCTGAATGCTATCACGGACACGTTGACCATACCCGCAGCTAAAATTTGTACATGTATATATGGTACTCACTATTTTAGAGTAACATATTTTATGTTGGATATTTCATGCATACTGTTTTCATTAGGGTCTCCAAAGGCATTGCCTACTAACCTTAATATACTGAACTATACTGAGCTATCTATTAATTTTTAACTAAACTCTGATTTTGATCATACAAAGAGCAAATACTAATAATCAGGTTTGGTTCGTCGTTATCTTCAAGAATGGAGTTTAAAGGAGGCGTAATTGTCTACCAAACGAGTAGAGGAAAGAACATATTCTTCCATGTTATCTATAAAATATACTTAAATTTACAAGAGCATTGAAAATTAACGAGAAAAATATATGCCAATTAAGAAGTCACTTTTTATACAAGATATACTTTGGCAAGCGGTCAATATGATAACGCTCCAAAAAGTTGGCGACATCACGTGACTGAAAGGTATTAACATTAAGCTGTGGGATAAAAGTTCTTGCAATAATTCGTAATAAGTAGGTTCCAATCGAAATCACATTTTGAAATTCTGGTTGAGATATCATAAGTTAGGGATACTACTGTAGGCTAAATTATAAAAAGCTGCAAACTATAACCTTTTCCTTAACTGCCCCCCCTGCCTATACTTCCTCAGGCTAAGGAATCGATTTTGTACCCACCTCTGGGGAGAATTAACTTCGAAATTAACTTCGAAAACTCTATGAGCGGGGCAATAGGGATCCTGGATGAATTAATTAACAAGGTATGTTTGTGTAGCGCCCGCGTCCCTTTATGCTACACCTGTTTCCTTCACCGTTTCATATTTCAACTAGTGAACCGTTTTGACAGTCTCCATCGATATACATGATCATGTAGCTCCGTGTGACCTTGTCGCTAGGGCCTCTCAGCTGACCAACTAACGTCTTTGTTTTTTTCTGATCCCTGAATACGTCATGTAAATAGGTTACATTTTACTTTTACTTCACTAAGCGGGTTCTACCACTGCATGCACCTCACTGCCCTGAATCTCTGTGAATTTCCAGACAAGACTGCACAGGGTGAGATGTGCGAAGGAACTACGCGCAGAATTGCAACCGATCCAAGAGAAGCTAGTGGATTTTAAAAAGGAGGTTTGTTGAAATACTGAATTGGAGGGAAATGTTATATTTGAGGGCAGATTTGCTGTTTATTGTCACTTTTGTCATGGTCTAGGTCCTCGATACAGGTTCTACTAAAGGCTGTGAGGAGAAATTCTTTTCTCCAAGGTCGACAGTAAGTCTTAATTATAATTTTCTTGCATTTTCCTCATTTTCAAGCATTTACAAAATATAATATCGAAATTATGGCAGTTATTCGCGTAGTCTAAGTATAATTCATAAAATAAAGTAAACTATGCACAATCTGTTTTCTCAGCCGTCAAAGTACCTGCAATTTCCAACTTCCTTTGATGTGTTAATTCACTTTAAACACCGTCCGCGCTGATGACAGTTCAATTCTTAGTGCACCCTGCTTAAAGTTTCCAAAAAACATCCCAGTGTGGTTGCGACATCAGTTTAAGGCGAATAGTGGCTCTGTGTTATGGCAATAGGAAGGTATCCAGATGCTCGTCAAAGCAGCGGGATGTTGGTGTGAAAGCGGCTCATTAAAGCTTCATTGATTTCTTTCAGTTGGCTGTGATTGCAGTAGAAGTGGGAGAATTACGTGGTTATTTTCAAGGAAATAGAGAGAAGCACGAGACATCCAGTTTACACGCGTACCGAAAAACTGTAAGTTATGAAATGTTCCTATGCCATAAATGACCGATAGCATTCTTTGTTGTCATCTGCCATTATTACCTCCTAAAGTTGTTATCTTTGCTTTTTGAAAAAATCACCTGGTAGACATTAAAGTCTACTTAAGGTGTAGTTGCATCCGAAGCCTGTATTTTATCCCTAATTGTGTTATTTTGTCTTTTTTCCTTCGTTCATCAAGCTCGACGCCTTTGCGGCAAACATATTCCTGGGTCATGAAAACTGGGTATGAAAATGCAAAATTATGACCTTAATCTAGATCCGCAACTGAGACAAAGTACTACTTTTGCCTTATCTGGGAGAGAATTTCTGCCTAGTTTATTTTGTCACACAATTATTTACATCTGCTACAACTCCCCCCCCTTACCAATTTAGTGTGGTCAGTAGTCATTTGATGGGTTCAGTAAATCCTGCTGGACAGTCAGCTTACTGTATCGGAATTGGTGGATTCCATACGTTGCGGTAGACTGCGCGGGTAAATCGACCCAGGTGTGGTTAAACTCACGTCTCCCCGTGGGGGCCCCTTAGCTCAGTTGCTAAGAGTGTTTGCTGTACTAAAACCTTCCTCTTATTGGCCTTGGTACAAATCTCACCGAGGTTATCGAGGTTTTTACAACTGGGTCAAATGAGTTAGTGGAATAAGATGAATGATTTCTTCGAAAAAAATCTCTGTAAAAAATCGCGGACATCAGCAATGTACAACAGTCACCGAATATCACGCAACATGCCGATATATGCGAAAGATTGATACCCTTTCGCTAATCGGCATTGAATCAAGTTGTGATACTGATTATCTCGTAGTCTCTTCTGAAGTCATTTCAGTCATGATAGGATGTAGGCTTTTTAACGAGCTTTGTTCTGACCACTTGCAACACGTACTCTTTTAACAAATGGCTACTTAAGTAGTATGTCTTTTTTATCATTGATTTTGACTGCCTTTATAAATCAAAAATATAGTATGGAAAACATGCACGAAAAAAATACTTCTTGTATTTGTTTGATCAAAAATTACGCCTACTTTTAATTTAATACTCAAAGAAAGGGCAACTTTCGGATATAAAAGAAATTGCTCAATTGCCGAATAATTTTCTAACCTAGTGACTGCTACATTCGAATTCAAGTTTTAAAATCTGTGCACTATGTTCATCCTGTCTAAGGGAATGTACGTTTTCGCCTACATTTTGAGGAAGGAGTCACATGGTTGTCATAAAATGTTGAAATAGATCTAGAAAATATTTTATGCAGTATAGGCAGCATTAATAAACTGACGGATACGATGTATGATATATAAACACCTCATAATTTAAAAAGCCCATTATTAGTAACTGTAGCTGCAGAAATTGTTTAGTCAATCCTTGGAAGATTGACTAGGTAATTCTCATCGCACTATTGGTTTGTTTTTTTCTAATTAATTAGTAGTTTATTTGGATTCTAAATTAACCTGCTCTCCTGTTGTAACTGGCATCCAGACACTACTGTACGCGGTTGCCTGTATACTATGGGAAATGCCTCGTTGGGTGCAGTTATTAAGTTCATTTGGACGTTACGTATTAAAGCTGAAAAATCCATTACTTCAAAAATGTGTCTACATATTTGCGAAGAAAAGTTCACAGTTTTTGGTTTCAGTTTGTGCAAAAGGAGGATTCAGCGGTCTCCGGTCAGTCAGCAGTTAATTGCAGCATTTTATACGGCAAGAAGCATATTTTTTTCTGAGAATAGATTTAAGAGTGCTTGATCGTCAGACCCTAATTAGTTAGAAAGATTTTGAGCTGAATCTTTAGGGCGACCATTATTTGGAGAACGTCTAATTGAAAATTAAAAGCATACTTCGAAGGCACTCAAGTTTTGCTCAAATATAGCACAATGTCAATCAGAACGGTAAAAACTCAGAGAGAGATTTCTGCTTCTGCGTGGAATTTCAACATCTATATTTGGTTTCTGCTATTTCATCCCTGTTGCATCAATTACAAACTAAAAGATGATCAAAGGACTAGTACATCGCTGTGAAATTCACATCCTCAAAAAGCACCGAATAAGCGCTCTTTCGTACTGCTTGTTTCCTACTAGTTGTATTTCTCCTTTTAATTACTATTTACTCTTATGTTTCCATTATTGTCTATTTTGTAGGCTGCTTTTTGAATAACCTCTTTCCCTTATATTATTTTTAGCAGCTAACATTATGTTTATTATATTTCAGATGTTTCCTCGAATTTCGTACAATCGAAAGCCAACAAATTGCGTGAGTAAATATGATCCATAAAACCAAACTTCTATATTTGCAAAGTCTTTATGCCATGGCATCAGCTTGGAAGTTAAGGGGGTGCTTTATCCGTAAGCGTCAACATTCCGACCACCTACTTAATAACCATTTTCTTGTTTTAGCTGCACAAAATTACGTATGCCTTCTACCCCGCCAACATCGTGGTCATGTTTCCGCATACTAGATCAGTCTGGCCAACTCGAAGGGATGCTTATAAACACTTCGTACGTTTGAATCCCCTTTTCTCTTCTGCGCACAGTTTTATTCAAAACTCCAGAATCATTGGCCAGGCATTTCAGATGCAGAGAAAACTTTAACGTTTTTACAAAAACAGTTTTAGGGGAACAAAATCATGCGTCGTCTTTACGCGCCTAAATGTTTTCCTTGAGTGAGCAACGGTTTAGCTCACTGCGTATATGACTCCTAATGAATGGTTCTGATGTCTTAGTGAAAGAGCATGTAGTTCACTCCGAATACACAGAATCTTTTTTTAATGTCTGCAGTCTTTCTATCACAATAAGCTTTTGGACCTTCTATATGTTCTCACTGTTATTGAGCACAGTCAGAAGCGATGGTTCTCCCGTTAAAGTAGAAGGCACATGAATCACCAGAATCATGGTTTTATTCGTTTGCGCTTTTGACCTTCTACTGGAGAATACCGTCAAAGGTAAAAGCGTCAGCGATCAAACTAACAAAATTTATAGAGGGCAGGGGCCAATCAACCACCAGTGCCGTCGGTCCGAAGATTCCAGCGCAGAACTAGGTATCCCGGCGCCAGATCGATTAATCGATTGACCGGCGTGAGCGATTATCGTCGCGTCTGCAAGGCCAAATTCGTGATCCGTCTCTTAAGTGTGGACAGCCGCTTACAGTACACCATCTTACAGCCAGCTCATGTTCGCGTATACGCGAAACAAGCACGAGACCAGTCTGTTCTGTGTAATTTCGAGGACAGCTTAAGCATGATATGCAATATACTACACCCGAATTTAATCGGTGTTTGATTCTCATGATTCGGCTGCGCATGGTAGCCTTGGATCCATGTGCAATTGCAATGCCTATTCCAACGGCAATGCGTTCGGTCTCTGCGGAAACAT